TTCCCGTAAATGTGCGGGCCACCTGACCTAGCATCCATGTTAACTTTAGCGTCTCTGTAACTGATCTTTAATATTCAAGAAGGATGTGCTACCAGAAGTCTCTCCAGTAAGAAAACAAAACAATTTTTGTGAGCAGTCAAGTGAGAAAGGAGGTAGGGGTGATGTGTATTTCTTGACAAAGCAGCACATACTTAATAATATGCATTTCCTCCTGCAGTTAGGGAAGGTAACTGATCTGTGGTTTACAGCCTGAAAAGAAAGTCGCAGTGAAGCAAGAGGCTGGTGGATTAACGAAAGGCCACACTGCAGCTACGTCACAGAGAGTGTGCGCTCTGGGATCAGAAAGACCGTTCTCAGTTCCAGCTCCACCACTTACTAAGAAGCCTGTGTCCCGGGGAAGTTATTTAACGCTACCAAGCATCACTGCGGTCACCTGTGAAAAATGAGGGTTTCTACCTGCCTGGCAGAAACATGATGCACATTGAGACAGCGACTGAAGAGCTGACACACAATACAAGTTCAAACATATTTTCTCTTCAGTTCTGAGAGTAAGTACTGATCCTTCTTTTTTTAACAGATTGTTAATTTTTCCTTTAAATGTCGTTCTCATTCCTACTTCACTTGGTTACTCGCTACAACTGGTTTAGGAGAGGAAAAAAAACACATAGCACACATAGTGTCTTTTACAGTCAACCTGAATTTCTTTTCTTGTAATCCTAAACAGAAATACTTGAAATAATATATTTTTTTCAGCCAATAATTCATCTCTCACTCCCTGCCTCTCTTGGTAGCAGTATATTCATCTAATTATAGAAACATAAACTTCCCAATACACTTTTCAGTGTTCTTCCCATGGTTACAGCTTTAGATGGCCATATAAATATAATATCCAGTGACCTTAAATAGCTCATAAACCTACACTACCAGAACTATGGCACACCATTTTGATTTTAAGATTACGGTAGTCCTCTCTTATCCATGGGGGGTGCGTCCCAAGAGGGCTTGAAAATAGAGTGCCCACACTTACTAGTAGATATGTTTTTCTATCCATGCATTCCTATGATCAAGATTAATTTCTAAATTAGGCCCAGTAAGAGATGAACAACAATAACTAATAAAGCAGAACAACGATAACAATACATTGTAATGAAGGTTATGTGATGTTGTCTCTCTATAAACATCTGATGGCTCTGTACCCACCCTTCTTCCTGTGCTGCTGTGAGATGGTGCAATGCTATGTGAGGAGATGAAGTGAGGAGAGATGTGGGCATTGTGACCTAGCACTGGGCCACTATGACAGAGACCTGAACATAAGCACTGTGTCATTCTGATAACCGAGAAGGCTACCAAGTGACTAACGGAAAGGTGCAGTGTCCAGCGGGGATACACAAGACAATGGGATGATTCACGGCTAGGCCAGGATGAAGAGGGGCGGCGGGAGGTTTTAAACTGCGTGCAACTTACTTCTGGATTTTTCCACTTAAATTTTGTGGACCAACATTGACCACAGATAACTGAAATCATGGAAAGCAAAGCTACTGGTAAGGGGAAACTAATGCACTTAAAATTTCTTTTGAGCCTGAGCCAAATTTGGGGGGGGGGGCTGTACTGTCAGCTTTGTCCCATCAGCCTACTGATGTTTTATATCATTTAAGACTCAAAATACATTTTCTTGATCTTTAGTACAAGAAAACTCAACTATCCAACAAGATATGTTTTCCAAAAATATCCCCAGTACTGTTTGTATTTAATATTGGAATGGTTATTCTAAATAAGGGCTGGGAGAGAAGTATTTCAGTAGGTAGGCCAACATCTATGGAAGACACAGACTCATAAGCAATAATGGTGATCATATTATTTTAGTACTTTGTGAGCCTGAAAAATATCATCTTTTCCCAAGGAGGCTGGCTGTCGCTCCTTCCTCTGAGGAAGTGCTGCTCTAAAACTGTCTTCCAGTTTAACAGAAAAGGCAACTTCAAAGCTGGGACCTGGGAACCAGGAGAGAAGGGGCCACTTCACCCTTCCACAGAGCACCCACCTCTCAGTGCAAACCGACAACTACATCACAGAGTTTGGGGATCTTTAAAAATGAATCCTCACCTGACTAAAGGTGATGAAATGAAATACAAATCTCCCAGCACCTGGAGGAAAGAAGAGACTGAAATCGGAGGTCCCAGCAGCACCTTAGGGTGCTGACCACGAACGACCTCATCTTAGACTCCCTTTCTACACCAGCTAAAACCTAGCAGACAGAGAGCTGAAAACAGAACATTTGCGCAAATGAATTCTTTAACTTGTTCATTTCCTCTCCCAATTGGAAATCATTTTCCCAAAAGTCTTAGGGGTCTTCACATCTCTGTATTAAAAATCATAACTAAGATATGTATAATATTCCTTAGCTGTTACCTGACACAGCCATTAGGTGCTTCAAGTTGCATATATTTTGTTAACAACACTTTCCATTTAAAAAATCCCGACTTTTAACTTTGGGGAAATCTTACATTTCCCCCTGAAGATATTAGAGACCTGATGATGCTCTTGAGTTAATTATTAAAATTAAGCTTTTACATCAGGTCTGCCAGATCAGGCTCACCATGTGGACAGCATATGAGGAGCTCTGATTGCAAATCTGAATCCCAAGGCAAACCGTCAGGAACAATCTCAAACTATGTTGAATTCTAGGTCATGTTGGTTTCCAAAATTCTCTGAATTCTGGTGTGGACTTTCTAGATGAGGGTCCAAACCCTGCCCACCTGGCAGGACCAGATCGGAATGCCATCTGATAGGGCAGCAGTAGCCGGGGCCCCCATCTTCTACCAGAAGGTGGATGGCGGCCAGCCCCCTTTCCAGATTTGAAGAGCCACTCACACTCCCTGGTTCTGGATTTTGGGTGACTGGACTGGCAGGGGAAGAGGAGCCTGCATCCTCAGTCTCAGCTAAGAGAGACACTGGGTCAGAAGAAGTGCCAGGCTCTGAGCTCAAAGGCATTAAGCCTGGGGGTGGCTGCTATATTAGTGGGAGGCTGGGATCCCTCGGAAAAGCTGCCCCCTGAGGGCTCTCAGCTCTGTGCTCACAGCAATGTGGGAAATATGCTTCCATTGTCTTAACAACTGTGAATTCAACCTCAGCCTTCGGGGCTGTGGAGCACCTCGCACTGATGAGGGGAGGCAGACTGAACAGCCTCCGGGTCCTCAACCAGCTCAGTGTGACCCAGGTCTGAACTCCAGTGAGGCACCTTTTGTTGACGAGACCATACCAGAAAATCCTACTGGGTCTCTGTCCCAAGCCGGGTTAGCTCACAACCAGGGCAACTGAACCGTCTAAACTTGGAAACAGGCGTGAAAAGGTGGATCTGGGCTTCCTACAGATAGTGGTCCCAAACTACCAACACAAGCTTCCCAGTAAGGGTGAAAACTCTCCCAGGCACAGGTTGTACACACAGCAATGGGAGCCCACACACCTAACACACTGCAGGTATCCAGGAATCCCACGAACAATAAATGCGTGGGTGGATGAATGAATTTACCTTACCATATACTCGGCTTTCTAAGCTGTCCATTAGACATGGACATTGTTAACTGTCCTATTAAACCAGAACACACACACGAGTTGTGACAAAGCCCTGCACCCCACAACATATAAACAGTCTGTCACAAGGGAGAAGTGTATAATTCACGGTGACTTGCATTTGTAAACATCCGGTGTACCAGGAACGCTGCTGGAAACGTGCCAAGCGGGCTCATCAACAGCAACTCCCCAGCCCCGGATGGTAAAAAGACCTGTGTGTTCCCGAGGCAGCCCCTGCAGTGGGCTCTCCCAGGCTTGCCCAGGAAGCCTGCTCTCCACCTCGCACGCCTGGCACCTGCCACGTCAGTGAACACCTGGCCTCAACCTCTGCGGAGGCGAGGTCCAGAGCCACACCTGAGGCTCGGGAGTCTTCACCACCAGGGCGGCCCGGGCCCAGGGAAAGCTCCAGGGCCATCAGTGCTGGGGCCAAGTCAGAATGCAGGGGTGATGGGCAAGCAGGAGGCCTGATTGGTAGGGAGGCAGCACCGGCACCGGCGGAACTAGGTGCGCAGCCCTGGCTGAGCCTTGCAGGCAGCTAGACAGGCGGAGCAGGGACAGTCAGGAGCCTGGGGGGAAGGTCGCCAGGGGCGCCGCGAAGGGCAAGTCTCACAGGTGGGACCTGCCCCCGTGGCCTGGTCCGCTCCTAGCTGGTCACTGGCCCGGCGGTTAGGACTCCTGCCCTATCACATCGCTGGTCATAGGTTCAGGCCGCTTCCCGACCTTTCCTCCCGGGCCTGTGGCTACTCATTAAAATAAAGCTGTGTGTGTGCTTCTATCTGAACCTTGGCTCTGAAATGTTTCTCAGCCAAAACTCCCGGACAGGGGTCTAACCTGGTGCCCTCTGCGGCTAACCCAACCCCCGGAGCTTCCAGAGAAAGCACCTGATCCGGTCAGCAGTCTGCACGGGCGGCCGCACTCACCAGGAAGCCCACCAGGTAGAGACAGCGCAGGAAGAGAGGGGCTCGCGACGCACCGGGGCCGGGGCCCCCCGCCTCGGCCCCCGTCCTGGGCTCCTGCCGCTCGGCCGCGGTGTTCCCTGGGCGATCCCGCGGGCGAGCCCAGGACCCGGAGGCCCCCAGCTCCATGCGGACGGGAACGGGAGAGGACGCCGCCAAAGCCCCCGCGAGCTCGGAGCTCGCAGCTCGCAGCTCCCCGCCCCGCCCCGCTCCGCTAGCCCCGCCCCCAGCGGACGCGGACGCGGACGTGCGCCTGCGCAGAGGGGCGCTGCGGGCTGGGCTCAGTCCGAGGGCGTGGTTGGCCCCCAGGCCAGGCTGGAAGTGGGCACGCCCCCTCCCCTCCCCTTCCCCTCCCCCTCCCTCTCCCCTCCCCTCCCTCTCCCCTCCTCCCCTCCCCCTCCCTCTCCCCTCCTCCCCTCCCCCTACCCTCCTTCCCTCCCCCTCCTCCCCTCCGCGTGCTCTATGGTGCTGGTGATGCTGTTTTCTCCGGGTCAAGACCCTATTGTGCCAGCGTTTGGAGGGTGGGAGGGAGTTGTGATAAGCTCCAGCTTAGAGTATCAGGTTGTCAAGGAGAGAGTGACCAAACTTGTGGAAAAGTTTTTATAAGAGTTTGAGTCCAATTTTGTGGACATACCTAGAAGCAAAATCTGAATGGATTTGAGAAAAAGCCCTGCCAAATGGCAATTCTGCAGTTTATTTTATACATTAGAATCAAAGGAGATGTAAGGAGGGTGCATGAAATCCACTGGTGGTAGATTAAGGCAGCCAGAGGAGGGGGTGGGGGTGAGGTGTGGTGGGAAGCTCTAGGATTGGATAAAAAGTGGAAGGGAGAGATAGACTCCAGTTAGGAATTTAAGATCTGATCATCCAGGTGGTTACTTTGTCAGGCCTGCCATGCTGAGATTTCCACATCTGGGGTAGATGCCTTGCGCGGGTGCTGGTGTTCTCCAAGACCTGTCAAAACCACCCACTGCGGCTCCTAGAGAAGTAGCCGTGAACTCTCAGTGTGCTCCAGGGAGCAGGCAGTCACTGAAAGACTCGAAAGGCTCTGCTAATATGCAGTCAGTACGACCTCGGACGTCTTGCGGCCTCTTGGGAAGTTCCTTACAGCCACTTGACTGCAGAAGGAAATCCTTGAGTCTGGTGTACAAATAGATCTGCATGATATTCTGGTGTCACCTAATATCACTAGTTTGACATGGGGGTGACTCTGGAGGACAGCGGTGAAGGAAAGTCTCACCATTGGTTGGAACCCTAAGTGGTATTTTGGTTGTTCACTTTGTCTGGAGTGATAGGTGGCCAAAAATAAATTACATTACTCATGGCCAGTACCTAACAGGCTATATCTAACAGACTTGGAAGATTAATAACAAAGAAGTCTGGAGAAGAGATATGTGGATGGATGTCTGAAAGGGGCACAGGAGGGCCTGGCTGGTGTGGCCCAGTGGTTGAGCATGTACCCATGAACCAGGAAATGATGGTTTGATTCCCTGTCAGGGCATATGCCTGGGTTACAGGCTTGATCTCCAGTAGGGGGCATATAGGAAGTAGCCGATCAAATTATTCTCTCTCATCATTGATGTTTTTCTTTCTTCTTCTCCCTTCCTCTCTCTAAAATCAAAAACATATATGCATATTTTTTAAAAAGGACACAGGATGTAGAAGCTACTTTTGTCCTCTGGGGATGTTTGCCAATAGGTATCTACTGCAGAGGAGGCTCTTAATAACCAGGTGGACAAAATGATGTGCTCTTTGGATATCCCAACCCACACCAGGGTTTCTTCAATGGGACCATGAACAAAATAGCTGTGGCGGCAGAGATGACGGCTATACATGGACTCGACAGCATGGCCTTACTTTTATCAATGATACAGCTTAATTTCTAATCTACCAACAGCAGAGACCAACATTTAGTTCCTGCTTCACCAGTCTCTGGGGAAGCAACTTAATGGGAGGTTATTATGGAAGGGGTAGAGATTCATCCTTACTAGAATAAATAAATATTCTGCATATATATTTGCCTTCTCTATTCCTAATATTTCTTTTAAAAAAATATATTGTGTTTATTTTTTTAACAGAGAAGAAGGGAGAGGGATAGACAGGGAGAGGGATAGACAGTTAGAAACATCGATTCAGCTACCAAAGTAACCAAGGTACATGCCCTTGACTGGAATCGAACCTGGGACTCATCAGTCCACAGGCCAATGCTCTATCCACTGAGCCAAACCAGTCAGGGCTATTCCTAATATTTCTGACAAAAACATTCATAGACTCACAAAATCACTGATCTACCCCTATGGCATTTTAACATAGCATTGCTTCTGATCAATGTACTCATTTCACTGCAAAGGAAATAAAGCAATGAGATCACCCTTATTGAATTAACTGATCTTATCACATCAAACATCACCCAGAAGAGGCTGGCTTAGTTAAATGGAGAAATGACTTCCTGCAAGCTCAGTTACAGTGCTAAATGGGAGATAACACCCTAAAAGAATAGAGTTCTGTCTTAAAGCACATGGCATATTATCTGAATTAGAGACCATTATATGGTGCTGTCTCCCCCATGTCCAGGAGATATAATTTGGGAATCAAACGGTAAAAGTGGGAGTGGATTCTCTCACTATTATACCTAACTAGAGGCCTGTTACAGGAAGATTTCTGCAAGAATAGGGCTTCCTGCGGCCAGAGCGAAGCAGAGAAGGGAGCGAAGCCTGCCCTTCTCTGCTGCCTCGCTCCCTCCCGTGTCCGCTGCCTCCGGACACTCCATCGGCAGCAGAGCAGCAAGGCTGGATCGGCCGCCGGAGTGGGCGGAGTGTGCCTCGCTACTCGCCCCCGCGGCCCCAGGCTGGATGACAGGCCCAGACACTCCAGCAGCCTCACCACTCAGTCCCTCCCCGTGCCTCCCCCACCACCTGCCTGTGCCAACAGGCCTGGACACTTCAGCGGTGGGC